CATGACATATCTCATTTTCCCTTAGGATTTTGCTCTTTGTGAAAGAACACCTTTTGAGAGAGAGATCTCCATTCTTGTTTAATCAAAAGAGTTTTGAGGCTTTAATCATATTTTCTTCACCATCTATCATCCATCTATCTATTTCCATTCACTAATCATGTTTAACAACACATCTTGCAAAGGATTTAGTGTGTTAATCATGATTAGTGAGTAGTCCCCTAATTAGAGTTCTAGATATGTAGGTTAGGGTGCTCTAAGGGTTTGACTAAGCTAGCTTAGGACTAGATTCATGCATCTTTGTTCTTGTTTAACTGATCTTAATGCTGGGTTTCTGAATATCACTTAAACCCAGACTCAAGACATTTCATGCACCAAAAGTGTTTGATGAAATATGTCCGAACTAGTTAATACAAGAGTCTAATGTTTGATTCACATGGGAGTGTTTAGATCACATATCATGATTGGTTTCCAATGCATCTCTTTCCTTTGTTTCTCTAATGATGATTGGGTATGAAAGAATGTTTGAGATTGTGTTTGATGCTTGAGAAAGATTGAAACTTGTTATGAATCATCAGCTGCTTAGATCATTTATCATCATTGTTCATTAGCTACTTAGTTAAATCCTGAAAGCACCCTAGCCATTTATCGTATCTGGAGCTCTAATCCTTATCATATCATATTCATCATCTTGTTTAGTGTTCTTTGTTTGCTTAGTTTGCATCTTAATCTTGTTTTAGACTTGTTTTAGTTTACTTTGTTGTTCTTGTTACTTGTTTGAACCATTAACTGTTTAATTTGCTTGACTTAAGTAAAAACTTACATGAACGAGTGTCTGAACACACCTGATATGGATTGATACTCTTTGTGCTACTTTGACAAGCGGATTGATAACCTCTAAGAGCTAAAAAACCTTACTTATCAAAGCCATGATGGCTCGGTTGGAGTAACAAATGAAAACACAAGCAGAAGAACTTCATCAGCGAATAGATCAACTACAAGGAGAGCCTAATCCGGGGGGAGATCAAGAAAGAAATGCCAATGGAGTTCGTGTTCAGCAGAGACAGCCTAGAACTGATGTTGGTGATGATAATTCTTCACAAGGCAGTTTACTACATGGAAGGGAACGTGTTGATGATGACATGAGAAGCATGAAGCTGAAATTTCCTCCTTTTCATGGCAAAAATGATCCAGATGCTTACCTGGAATGGGAAAAAAAGATCGAGATGATCTATGAGTGTCAAGAGTATTCAGATCTCATGATGGTGAAGCTAGCTGCTACAGAGTTTAATGGCTATGCTATAAACTGGTGGGATCAGATCACAACAAGCCGCAAACGCAATAGAGAGCCGCCTGTTGATACTTGGAATGAGTTGAAAGCACTTATGAGGAAGAGCTTTGTCCGTAGTCACTATCACAGAGAGTTACACTAGAGACTTAGGCGTTTGACTCAAGGAAATAGTAGTGTAGAAGATTATTTTCAAGAAATGGAATCTTTGATGATCAAGGCTGGTATTGAAGAAGATCAAGAAGCAACCATAGCTATGTTTTTGAGTGGGTTAAACCGAGAATTTCAAGACAGAATGGAGATGCAAAGCTATGCTGACATAGAGGAGATATATCACAAAGCCATTCTGGTCGAACAACAGCTCAAGAGGAGAGGATCTCGATCAAATTTTGGAGTTGGTTCATCTACGGCTAGACCAAGCTTTGTCAAAGACGAAAAACCAAGTGCTGAGCCTGTGGTGTCTTCTAAATCATTCTCTACTAAACCAGACTTCAAGGTCAAAACTGAAGCATCAACTACTAGAGCTCGTGAGATAGTATGCTTCAAGTGTCAGGGAAGAGGACACATTGCTAGTGAATGTCCTAACAAGAGAGTTCTGATTCTCTTAGACAATGGTGAGTATGAATCAGAGGATAAAAAAGAGATCTCGGATTCCATGGAAGAACAAGAAGAGTATGCTGCTACAGGGGATCTTTTGATGATGAAAAAGATTCTAAACGTGCAAGCTAAGGCAGAGGAGGAAGCACAAAGACAGAACCTGTTTCACACAAGATGTCGTGTGCAAGGCAAGGTTTTCAATCTCATCATCGATGGAGGAAGCTGCACCAATGTAGCAAGTGAATACATGGTTAATAAGCTTCACTTGACCGTGAAGAAGCATCCCAACCATACAATCTGCATTGGCTCAATGATAAATGTGAAATGCGAGTGAACAGCCAAGTAACGGTTTTTCTAACCCTTGGAAAGTATAAAGACGAAATTCTGTGTGATGTTCTACCTGTGGAGGTAAGTCACATTCTGTTGGGAAGGCCATGGCAGAATAATAGACAAGTGAATCATGATGGCTCCACCAACAAGTATTTTTTTGAGTTCAAAGGCAGGAAGCACACTCTTGTTTCAATGACACATACAAGCAATCAAACTTTCTTTCCAAATCTGGTAATATCCAAAGAACTTTATTCTCTCCATAATCTAATCATAAGCCTGCTTATAAAGAAACTCTTTTCAGTTTATCTAATGTTGCACCGAAGCTGTCGAGTGGAAGATCTTTTATTATGCAGGGCTATAAGGATGATTTCTTATGCCAATTGTACCTTTAGAAGATAATATTTGGAACAGAATTCAGTTTGGACAAATAGAATGCATCTTTCCTATGAAGAACCCATCTGAGCGCCTTATCTTCACCAAAAGAGCCTTAAGCTAAAGGAAACTCAAACAATCAAATTGCCCCTGAAAAAGGAGCTCAAAACGGACAAGGAAAATGGATGAGGATTGGAGGACGTGTGGAACTTGAACACTCTGACTTCAAGGATGCTAGGAAGCATGGAACACCTCAAACTCCAACACAGATCACTGCCGAAACATACTTGCAAGGTACGCATAATCTAAATTCAAGTTGTAATGGTTTTAGCTTTTTTCTTGGCAGATGGTC